TTCCACAAGTTTAAGTTTTTCCCATCAATTGTAAGAGACATGATGGGAGGGAACAGCATCCACTAAAGCCAGCAGGAAATGGATTGTGAGAGCCCTATTCCAAAGAACAGAATCCCTGTTATCCCTTAGTCATGGACAATATTTCCTGAAAATATTCCATCTTGATTCCATAATCAGCAATCATTTTACAGCCTCACCTGGCACTCTCGTTTTAGCTCTTCTCGTGGAAAGTTCCTTAACTGAGATCTTCTTTTGGTTATTTCCTTCAGTGCTACTCCCCAGCACACTGTTTTCCTAGGTCCCTTTTCCAATCTCTTCAAAGTAATCAGCATGACTGTGGCAGACCAGATGCCAGCTCATGCCAAAGCCAATTCACTTGTGTATAGTATAGATCAAAGTGATTGTTACATGCATAAGAGAATATTTGGTGTTTAAACTTCATGAAAACTAGTGGGATGTTATTTGCATGGTTTTCACTTATCTGTAGCCTGTTATAATGTAGTACAGTAGTAAAAATGTACATTGTGTTTACCCCTGTAATTAAATAACCCATCAAAGGAGAAAGAAGGCTTGTGAAATACAAATGAAGAACTTTTCTCTTAAAGTGCTAATTTCAAAATATTTGATCATTGAGTGTGATGATTGGAGGTCAAAGATTCAAAAGGCATTCCTCCTCACCCTGTCATCAAAGGAAAAGCCCACCCAGGGAGTGATACTATCAGCTTGTTTTCTGTGAGAAGCTATAAGAATGGATTCGAAGAGCCTTCATCTCTGGACTGTTTGGCCTCTTACAAGGAAATGTACCAGATGCAAAGGGGAGATCCCCAGAGACAATCTGGGAACCCTGAAAAGACTTTTGGGAAACTGGCTGTTTATTACATCACTGCCACCATTTGGGATTATAAACTGTGACTCATCTGTTAATATATTTCACCTGCTTTAGCCTCTCAATAACTTATTTATCCAGCATTAGAGGAAAGCAACTTTTGCTGGATTGATACGTGTAACTGGGTACTCAGTATGAGCTTATGTATGTTGAAATGTTCAGGGTCAAGTAGCAGAGTTGGAGCTTGTTACTGGAAAGACATCAGCTGTACTTAAAGTGGCCACCTATGCTGTTAGCACTACTAAGGGGCAGATCTCCAGCTGTTTTAAATTGTTATTGCTCTGCTAATTTCAATGGAACAATTTATACCAGCTGAGGATCTGTCCTATGTGTCTGAGCATATGTCTTTTATAAACATCAAATACAGAAATGATTTGGGTGGACATTCTTGTTTTCTAACTTTTTCTTTAATGTTTTGTATATTAAAACATCCTGTTATGAGGGCTGTTATCCTTCCTTCTTTTAATAGATAAACCAGTGGAATTTAGAATAAATAGAACTCCATTGTATTATCACATACCTTGGTCTTTTTTAGGGTTTGCTAATAGCTACATCATTTCTTTTAGCCTGGATCCCATTAGTCATAGTCTGAGTCAATAGGTTTCCATGACAGCAAGTTTCTGTGCAATGCGGCAATTCATTCTTTATTTCTGCTCTAAACTTCCATTGATATATTTAAACCTCGACCTTATAAACATTTCCTTTATCAAAAGTCATTTAATACAATAACTGGATTTTATTTATACCATGATCTTGCCAAAGAATACACACACTATTGAATTCAGTAAAGGTTGCCAAATTCTCCAGATTTTTTCCCCCCAGAAAGATACTTTTTACCTGGTTCTATCTCTCAGAATTCTGACAGCGGTTTCCCCCCCCCCCATGTGTCAGGCCTTGACTCTGCAATGAGCTCCACCTGGGTTGATCCCGGTGCTCATGCACAGCCCCCAAAGCTCCCCTAGCATCTGAAGCTGTGCTTTAAAAAAAATTCAAAACATATTTGAAGAGTAGTAGAATTTTATTGACCAGCATGGGCAGGGGATTTTCCTCCTTAAGAACAGTTTTCAGTCCTATTATTTTCAATGAGAATGGTGCATCTAAATCCCTTAGGGCAGCCTTGAAAATCTCAGCTACAGTATTTAGCTCTTTTATTCTTTCTTCATAAATCATTTCTCCCCATCCCTGATCTCCTTATTGTGTTGTATTACTTCTATGCAAGATAGTGCTCAACCATACATTTCTTGTTGGAAGGATCATAAAGTAAATAAATAACCATTAGCTCAGTCCTGTTACCGCAAAATGTTACTCATGCTAATCTGTCCAACAAATATTTTCAAAAGCCAACACTGGACCCAAACATTAGATATTTTCCCTCCTGGTTTTTGGTTGTTTTTGAAAGCATACACCTTTCATAGACTTCGTTTCACCTTTTTTTGGGGGGGGGGGGCGGGGGCGGCACAGCTCCTATTTGAAAGGGCCTTTGTCAAACACACTACTTTGTAGGAAGTAGCCTACCAAGATATTTGTAAACAGTCAATATACTTCAATGAGCTAGAAATTGAGGAACAAAATACCAACCACAAATTCAGTGACAACTAATAAGAATCCATGAGACTTCATGAGGCCTTGCAATACATGGGCATGCTCCCCCCCACACCCCCCATCGCATTTGATTGTCAGTTTTTAATATGGACATATATCTGTTATTGATATCTAACTCTAATTGCCCTAATACACTCATTGATGCCCCAACCCACCAGTCCCAATTAGCTGTATAGCAGAGAACCAGCCCTGTCACCACTGGTAGGTGACGAGATCGCAGGAAGAATCCCACAGGCAGAGAATGCTAATAAGAAAATGGAAAAGCTTATAGTCAGCACAGCTGGCAAGAGTAAAGAAAGAAATCTAGGCCAAAACATGCCCGTGTTGAATGGTTATTTTGAGAAAATGAGGCTGTGCGCGCTCTAAGCTCTTCAGCAAGGAGAGTTCAGATAAAATCCAAGAGAAAATGCAGTTATATTGGTATTTAGGCTGCTTATTACAACCAATATTAATATTACTTATTTCCTGCTTTATTGATAACTGTTTGATAATCAGTCAGTAATGACACCAAATAGTCTCTCTCATAGACTTAGTAAAGTTTAAATCGGACATTTTCTATTGGATGGAATGTACAGAGAGATTGAAATTTAGTAGGGTAACTACCAATACTGTCAAATTGGGCAACTCTAAGACAGTTGTAATTGTATACCTTGGCTATTTTAAGAATAACCAAGATCAAATGTAATATGAGATATTAAGGCTCCGATCCTGCAATACACTGAGTGAAGTCCAGTCCCTGCATCTGCATAGGGTCCCTTTGAAGTGGGGCTCTCTGTAGGAAGAGGGACATCCATACCCACAAAGTGGGGCTCTCTGTAGGAAGAGGGACATCCATACCCAAAGCATTGCAGGATACAGGGCCGGCTCCAGGCACCAGCTTACCAAGCAAGTGCTTGGGGCGGCCACTTCGGAGAGGGGCGGCACGTCTAGCTGTTCGGCGGCAATTCGGCGGACAGTCCCTCACTCCTGCTCGGAGCGAAGGACCTCCTGCCGAATTGCCGCCGCAGATGGCGATCACGGCTTTTTTTGGGGTTTTTTTGTTTGTTTGTTTGTTTTTGTTTGGCTGCTTGAGGCGGCCAAAACCCTGGACCCGGCCCTGGCAGGATAGGGCCTAAAAGTGATTCTACAATGTATTTGGGGGGTTTTGCTATTATGTAACAATATGAATTAAGTTATCCGAGTTACTGACACTGTATAGAAAGTGAAATAAATCTAAGGTTTCATAATTCTTCTGAACAATAACTTGTTCCCATTCCATCCAGTTGTAACCCACCTGTACCATTCTAAATAAGGTCTCTTCCTCTTCACTGTTTAAAACCTTCATATGCTGATAGTTGTAGGCTTGTGCCTCCCATTAACCATTACTTAGCCACACCATGTGGACAAAGCTCAGCTCCTAGCACAAGTGGGAAGTCGCTGGTTTCCATCTGCTGATGAGTTCACAGAGGGCCAGAGAGCTAGGCATTGCCAGCCTCTATCATTCCCACTCTGTAGCCCTTGTGTAGAGGGCATTATTGGTGGGAAGGGACTGAGGCTGGAGCACACTGCACTTCAGCAACCTTCAGCTGGCCTGTTGGGGAGCTGCAGCCAGCTAGCATAAACCACAGCACCTCATGAAGTGCTAATCTATGCAGTGTCTATAGCATGTCTAGGGTAGATGCAACCCGACAGTAAGGGAGCCACAAGCAGCCTTCTTGCAGTCCCCCAAACTAGGCATGGCAGAGAATTTGGGTCACGTTATTTAACTCAGATACGATGCTGATGTGGGTTATACAAGCACCTAGCTCTCTACTTGTGAGATTAATACTTCTTCATAAGCAACCCTCCAGGTCTCTTATGTATTATTGCTATAAAGTATAGCAGTAGGTGAAGCCTTATGTTCCTTGTTGGAACGATCACAAAGGGCCAGATTTTGATACTCTTACATGCACTGAGTAATATCTTAGCCCTTTAGCTGCTCCATCTGATCTCACTGAGACGGCTTGAGGAATAAAGTTCTAATCAATGTGAGTAAGAGTATCAGAAATTGGCATAAAATAAGTGAGAAGAAAGTAAACTAATAATGATTTAAATGTTAAAGTCACTTAATAATCTGAATAGCCAGTATTTTAAAAGATCATCTGTATACGGTATGAACTGATTTAAAAATACTGAATTTATTATTAAATTACTGCAGTTCAAACCACAATGAAATAATATGCAGTCACCTAGTTTCACGTAATTGAACGTTAAAACCAATGTTCTGAAGCTATTTAAAGCCTTCAGTGTTTTCACTTTTTCCATGGTATTGGAAGTATCACTTTGACATCAATATGGAGAAAACAGATGGCTAGAGTAATGAACAAGTGAGCAGTATGATACTACCAACTGACTACTCACAAGTTTGACTAACAAATTAGATAACAGACAGAAAAGAAGTGGGCTGGTAATTAACAAAGTTGGTGCTGTATGTCAAAGTATTTAGAAAACCAGTAAGATACAAATAGACTCTGAAGGGAGTAGCAGTGAAATATTTAGAATAATAATTCAAGAAGTTTAATGATGAAAAAGGAACTGAAATATGGCTTTTACCATAGTGCCAAAAAGCTTGGAAGTGAAGGAGAAAAAAAACATACATTACTGGGGAAATCAAACCTGTAATCTCTGTGTATTTGTCATCCAAAAGTAAAGAATTCCCTAAATTATATAGAAGACAATTTCATGATTTGGAAAGGGTCTAGAGAAGAATAATATGATGATGAAATAGAGAAAAGAAAACTTAATAACTAGGAAAAGGTCTTTTACCTTAGAAGCCTATTAGAATGAAACAATCACTCAAGTGATGTGAGTTCAGTCAAACTACAAACAGGTCAAAGCACTCAAGGTCAACCCAAAGGGAAAAATACATCATTGGAAGGAAACTAGACAAGGTAACATGCTATTTTTTCCCCTCTTCTGAAACACTTTATCAAAACATTATTATAAAGTTAGTCCAAATATTTGATTATTCTCATCTCTGTCTTGTTATTCTTGGTCTCTTCCATCTTTGTATAGTCTGCAAAATTACAATGGGGTTTATTATAGTGTCCATTCTTATCAATATTAGGCCACTTGCAACTTTTAAGAACCAGGCTAATCTCTATGTGTATGCCAACTTTGGACTGGCTAGTTTTCAGGGGACTGTGTTGGAGAGGAGTAGCCATTTCTGGACACTAAAAGTTAGAGTAAGTTGGGACTCGAGGGAGGAGTAAATTCCACCAGACACTAACAGTCCTTCTTGCCAGGAATAATCTCTCCCTCTCAAGACCTGCCCTCCCAGTGGGGTCTAACAGTCAGTCTCTTTCTTCTTTGGTCCCGGATCTAACAAGAGGGAAGGTTATACCAGAAGGTCAGGCTGGGGTGGGGGAAAAACATGGAAATAAGTCATCAGAACATAGCAGCAGAGAAGAACAGCCACATAGAACCATGAAGGGCATAGAAGATCACAGAATCCGACTTAGACTAGGAATGTGGCCTTCTAGTACTAAGTGGAGGTGGTATGCTTAGGGGGTGGAAGAGCTCTCATTTTATTGGGTGGAAGAGCCAGTGGTAGAAGGAAGATAGTACTCCTACTAGGAAGTGGCAGGAGAGGGTGAGCTGAAGAGATGCATATGCATTTTAAGTGTTAACAGGTCTTCAAAGCAGACTCCAGAAAAAAAAAACCCAGCTTTTAAGAAAAATTATTATTATTAGACCAGAATAATCATTACATTCAAAAAATATATTATTACAAAAGTATACTGATGCAATCAGTGATGGACTAAAACTAGTATAAATATCTTTTGCAAATATTTTCTTAGACTGAAAAAGTTCATAGCTAAAAGCCATTGTATAAAAACTAGTTTTTAGTCTAGGAGGAGGATAGTGGCTAGATTAAGTGTAATAACACTTTTAAGAAACTCCTATATAGAACAATATACACTACTGGAGCTGACCTTCATTTTGACTACTATACAAATCCCTTTAGTTATTGGTTTTTGGTATTTCTCAGAGGCTCTGGCACATAGAAAAGCAATTTCAACAAGTGAATTTTACAGATAGTAAGCAGCATCTCTGTCCCTCCAAGAGGTTTTAAAGTTAAAATGCAGGTTTGTTCATATATTCCTCCATTGTCTGAAAAAAAAAAAAAAAAAAAGAATAGCAAGTGAGGTGTTACAGATAGTATTTTACAATGAAATACAGTAAGGACCTGAGCTGTTCCCATTGAACAGGGTTGGAATTTTTGATTGATTTCCATCAGATCCAGGCCCTATGAACAAACACTAATCAATGAAATATCTACAATAATAATACTTTAAAACCCTGTTAGACTGAACTTGCACATGTAGTTGCTATATCTTGCTGGCCTTTTGTACATGCCACTACTGCAAGCTGGTGGGCTCCCTCAACAGCGCAGGAAAGAACCAGTGCCTTGCCCATGCCTCCCTCAGGCCCATGCTCCAGGGCAGAGAGTATTATTCAAATACAAAACAAAGCTTTTCCTTTGACCAAAGCAGACAGCAGAGGCCTTTCCCCTTGCCTCTCCTCCCACCCCCTTTAAACCCATTCTGAGTTATGCACAGGCTGCTCTTAACCCGCTCTGGCTGTTTCACCCTATCAGCATGTGCAAATACCAGCTTGTACTAGAAAAAAAAAAAAAAAACTGCAAAGAGCCTATTCACATAGTGTTTTCCTAACTAGTTCTACCAGCCTCTCATTTTCTTCCATGTTAATGATCGTCCTGAAAATTGAATCATCCATAGCGTTTGCCAGTTCTTACCATTCTCAGCTCACTAAGGTAATTTACAATGTAGGAAAATGAAGCTCATTCCTGCAGGTTTTTGAATAAGTCTCACACCTATTCCTCATAGGTACCATTACATGGTCTAGTTATGGACAATCTGGAGGTTACCAGCACATACTTGTGCTGATTTCGATATTACCATGTAGGTCGTTTGTCAATTTATTAGTGAAACAAAAACAAAAAACAAAAAACTTGAACATTCAGGCCCTCTACCATGACGTGTTAAACGTCATTTAAAAATTTATATAAAACAAATTCTTAATGCAGTGTCTAATATCTAGCAACTGACATGACTGATTAACAACCATTCTACTTGCAAAGTAGCCACCGATAGCATATGAATAACTTAATACCATATCACAGGATGCCAGAGGATTGAAAGAAGGGTATAAGATATTGTCACCTTTTGTAATTATACGGTTGTACCTCGTAGTACTAAACTTCAGACATGTTGGGATATCAAACACTACTCCTGTCAGACAAAAAAACTGTAGCGAGGTGTGTGCCTCTGTCTTACCTCTTGTAACATATCAGAATCTTCTATGGCTTTCACTGCTGATTTCTTTGATGTTTCTTGTATTTCTCCACCCATTATAAACTCATCAAGAATAAAATAAGCCTTTTCAAAATTAAAGATAATATCCAGCTCACATACCTGATGAAGCAAAATACACATTTAGGCACAATATTATAGCATTATATGTATTAGCATTCCTAGAGCTTATAGATTGCCAAACCTATTCAGCGTATGCACTCTTGTGGCAGACAGTAAAGTAAGAAATAGAAATACTGAATATTAAGTGATATCACAACTTTGGCGCTAGTGAAATCATATTCTTCTCTGCACGAACAAAGACTAAGTAAGTATAAACAGATTTGTTTAAACACTTTTTCTTATAGAATACTTACTTCATGAAACAACTTTTAATAAGACATATTCTCTGCCCAAAACATCTTACCGTCTCTGACAGACCAAAAACAAAAAGACAATGGAAGACACAGCACAATGATTTATGTTAAGGAGGAGTCAGATAAATCAACTGCTCAAGAGAACATGGTAGAAAACATTCATAAAAGTGGGTCTCCTGCAGCACCCAATTCCTCCCATGGACCATCTCCATGTCCCCTGGCCCATACCACCCTCATTATTCCTGCACACCCTGCTGATATCTTGCCCTCATGCGGTGTTTCCTGTTGCTTGATATGAGCTAAAAAAAGTAAGGTCATTTTTGAAAATTTAAAACAAAAACAAACGCCTCCCCTCCCCCCGTTTTAAAATTCTTTTTCTGATTTTTCCCCAAAACTTTCTAGATATCTCCCTTGGGAAGAGATGTCGCATGTGAAATGTCAGGATTGGATTCTCTTTGGGGTCGGGCATATTATGGGACATAAACTCCCTATAATAGCCTGGGCACTATTTTACTGTCATATCCACCTCATGCTGGATGTGTGGACATGGTACAACCAAGGCAGAGGGAAAGGTTGAGTAAGAGCAGCTACAGAGATTTTCACACCTGACTCTGTGACAAACAACTAAAGGGCAAAAATTATCACAACTTAAGGAAGAAAAGGAAACTTACATTTCCAAAATACCTGTCCAGTAGTTCTACATAACGATGAACAACCTCTAGTGTCAGCAGCTCATTATCCTGGTCTTCTATTGCACAGCAAAAATATAAACTAGCATACCTACAAAAATAAAAATGAAAATGGGTGAGTGCTTGGTAAAACCTGAAGTAATAACTCAGTCACAGAGATAATTTGGTTCATATCCCTGCCTATGCAAGTCTGTTCTCTACAGTAAGGCTATGTCTATACTAGCACTTACTGTGGTATAATTTACGTTGCTCAGGGGTGTGAAAAAGCCACCCCCCCTTAGCATCATAAAGTATACTGACCTATGCGCCGGTGTGGACAGCACTAGGTGTATTGTGTACACCTACTGTAGGTGTATTGTTTTAGATTGTAGAATAATTTTGTGCTTTAAAAAAAATGCATAGAAAGAACAAACATTTGGGCCACTATTCAGGCTACCAATGGTTAATAGGGTAATTTGTGCATATTTCAAGAAACAGATTACATGTAACTACTCGTGCTGATCAATTCTTTCTTCTGATTGGTAGCAGAGTTTTATATTTAGTTAATCTAGTTTCATGAGGGGGGAGGAGGAATATCCACCTGAGCATTCTTCTCAGGGTAGTGGCTGGAGCACCATTTCAGGAAAGCATCTAAACCTGTGTCGGTCTATCCCTTTTCAACAAAGCACTTAAGAACATACTTAATTTTAGTGCTTTGCTGAATAAGGGTGGACTTCTGTTTTAGGGCCTTCATTTCTCTCCTGTAACTATAAAGGCAGGGATAGCCTGTTACCACTCAGGCTCATGTACCTGGGGAAGATACAAGTTCCAGAATGGGAAATACTTCAAAGCTATGATTTGGCAGAAGGCGCCTCAATACAGTGTGTGTAACCTTGCAATACACTGACAAAGCACAACATGCTTTTCAGCACAATACCTTTAAATTAGCAAGATTAGCTAGGCATAGCATCTTCTATAATTTAAACTGTCAATCAATTCTTACTCCCATTTTTCTTCAGTGGTAAGCAATACCGGTATTTTTCTAATGGCAATTCACTGTGTCAATTTATGGAATGGGGAAAGGCAAGCTGATTTTGTTTAGAATCAACCTGCATTGTTCCTAGTTTCAGGCTCTTACATACAGCATTTTCAAACCCTCATGGCACTCATTGTTCCTCATGTGCTTCATCCTAGTAGCATTTACAAGATTAAGGTACATGTGTGTGTGTGTGTGTGTGTGTGTCTCTCTCTCTATATATATATATATAT